GGTGGGTTCGGTGGCTGCCAGCCACGGCTGCAGGGGGTGGCGGGGGGCGTAGCGCACAGCCGGGAGAACGCGGTGGGGGAATGGCTTCGATGGAGGAGGGGGCTCAGGCCAGCCACTGCTAGTGCCTGCGGACAGGGGAGGAACAAGAGGAGTTAGCAGCAGGGTTGGAAGGAGGGGGTGCTGAAGGAACGAGAAGAAAAAGGCCTGGAGGGTCTCGAGGCTTGTGAGAACAGCTGCCAGCTGCTGGAATGGTTTGGATGTTGCCTGCAAACTCATTTTGCAAGCTTTCATTTAAGTGTTGTACTCTGCTAGTGCCAAACACCAGGCTGGAAACTCATGGCTGCAGTTCTTCAGCCTTGGATCTGGTGCATTGACAGGAGGGATGCAGCCTCACCCCCCCACAGTCTTGGCAGAGACACCACCCTCTTCTCCAGTGGGTGAGACAGCAGTTCATTTCCCCACCACTGCCACCACCCATACTGCTAGCTTTCACTGCCAGCTGCTGTGTTTTCTCTAAGTCTCTACTGTGGAACCTGAACAGATACCAGATGTGAATTCTAGACATGTCTGCAGTTGGCAATAATGAGAAATCCACCACTGGGTTTTAAGGCATCTGCTGTTGGTGGGAAGATCAGTATCTGCTGATATACTTTAAGCCATCTAGTCCTTCCTGTAATCACATACACAACCTCTGAGTCATCCAGCCTCTTGTTATAATAAATTTCTCAAGAAGCCCTTTACTGCACAGGGCTGACCTGACGCCTTACTCATGGTAAGTAAGAACTGCCTGGTTCCATAAGCAATGCTGTCAGTCTCATAAACCAGCTTATCTTACAGAGCCCACTATTGCCTAGTATGAGAAAATAAATAAATGTATTGAAAATACAAAAACATGTGGATTGTGATGCAGAGAATCCTCTTGTTCGCACTGGGGTTAGTCTCATCCAGCTTCAGCTATCTGAGGGCTCTGTGTGTTGTCTAAACTAGTGGCATAGAGAGACACCAGCAAGCCTCCTGCCTCCTTTGGATACCTGCCTGAAAATGCTGTCTGGAGGATGAGACCTAGACAAGACTTATACTTGCCCTTTGGAGATGTTCTTTCCCTCTGTTGACCACAGTGAGATTGAGCTGACCAGTTTAAACTGGACAACTGACTTTAAGGTAAAGTTAAATGAAGCTCAGTCCATCTGCCACTGGAATCTTTGGGAACTGATAACCATGCTGTGCTGTTGGTTTCGGTGACAGATGAGCAAAAGAATAAATGATTGGCCACTTGCAAGCTTCATCAAGATTTTCTCAGGAATTAGATATCAGACTCCTATCAGATTTCAGTGAGGAAGCAAGCCCTTAAAGATTCCTCTGCATAAGTCATGTCCTACATGCTATGGCAGCCCCAGCACATCCATGAAACTTCAGGGACTTTAAGGAGAGTCCTAGGTTTGTCAGGCAGGACAACTGAACCATTTTTTTCAGCTTGCTGGCAGAAACATGTAAGACGTGTTTTATCCAAAAAAGTGAGGCACTGGGGAGGTTGAAAGAAGCTCTTAGGAATCCCTTTGAGCTTCAGCTGCATAAATTTACATATGATGCAGTATGAGTATTTTCTAAGAACACCCTGGTAAGCATTCACGAGCAACTGAATCGACTGTGCTTAGCAGAGGCAATCTTTACACTTCATGTTCTTGTTTCAAGCACTGTTGTAGGCTTACATTTTTGTAAACATTTGAACACTGCTGAGTGTCTTCAGCTGGAGGCCAGATGGCTATTTCAAGGTAACCCTTCAGCCTGGCTGAGTGACACTGGGGTGGGTAGAGCCCTATCTCTAGCTTTGGAGTTGCATGGTGGGATGAGGCAGCGTGAAGTAGCTCCATCCTCTTTGTATAGGTTGGTAAGAGGTGATTCTGCCAGCTGGGTGGGCTGAGAGAGTGGGAGGCACATGTTCCCTCTGCCTGGCCTGTCACGGGAGGGCAGGAAGTCTCAGGAGGGACACCCACTGTTGAGAGAACTCTCACTCTTGCTGCTGTGGGTAAGGTGTTTCCTGCCTAATCCTCCCTGCCCCAACATATTTTCTAGTTGTCCCTGCCACAGCAGTAACTCTGCAGACCACTGCTTTCTGGAACTCGATCCTTTGAGGATTACTGGCTGGGAGTGCAGGTGAGAAAAACCAGGGAGCATCAAGTGCTCTCATCTCTTACTCCTCTGCTCTGACTTCCCACTCCTTCCACCCCTGCTGCATGGCATTCTCTACTCCTGTGGCAGCCTAAGGAGGTGGGAAGGCTATCTGCCCTGCCCTAGGGGACTGTACAGACCAGGCTGCCTCACAAGCAAAGCTAGCACTACCATCTACACCTGTTTCTTTTATGGTGACAAAAAGTGGCATCATCAAACTAAGAGACACAAATCTAATTTAAACTATGACAGCTGGCTAATCATCTAGGTATGTGCTTAAGCATACATTTTCTAGGCTGCTGAATGCAGTTACAAAGGGCTTAATAAGCTGATTAATTACATGTAATCAGCTTAGGTTTTAAAATGTTTAATTACAGTTACTGGTTACATTTAATTAATATGAAAATCGAACCTCCACATTTTATGCATGTGCACACTACCAGCAAAGCCAGTGTAATTGCACTGCAGCAGGCAATTCGGGTAGTTATTTTTATCTTTTAGCTAGTTTTTAATTTTACTTTTTTATGGACATCAGAAAATGATAACTCCACTAACTCCAAAGTTCCTGTAGCATACTTCTGGGAATGATAAAAATCTTGAAAGTGGGAATTAGCATGATGGCAAATACAAATTATAGAAACTGGACCTTCAATATGGGTAAGTAACTATCCCTAATACTTTCTTAAAAGTTCATTGGGATACAATGGAGGGGGGTGCAGTACAAATGGTAAGGTTTCAGTGCCCTTTGTGGTTATTAATGCTTACCTGATGATGTACCAGATGCAAAGGCAGAACTGTCTTCTGAGAGACATCTGTGCCCTGGTTTTTCTGCCTTTTCAGACATTCTAAGTGAAAAGATGCTCTTCGACCTGAAACAGCAATCACACACAACTTTGTCCATCGCTCATGCTAAACTACAGTCAATCTGATTTCAGTTTCTTTTAGTGCTGTCCCATTGGAGATGGGAAAGCAAAGACACCCACATTTTAGGCTCTGTCCACTTTCCCTCAACTCGTTGCCCTTTCTAAAGCATTTGTATTAACAAAAAGCAGTCAAGCATCATGGACCAACCAGCACTACCTCCCGGGCAAGCTGTAAGATAAAACTCTGGACAATTATTTTTGTTTTTCCTCTTTTAAAATGCTGTCCTAGTAGATACCATGGAGCTGATTCCCCTCCTAAGCAGTAGAAGTGTTCTCAGACTTCTCTGGATCAGGAAAAGCCCTCAGCAGGATTGTGATGGCAGCTGAGGCTCTGGTGCTGTGCCTGGCTGTACACAACACACAGGAGGAGACATCTTGCTGCTCAGGTGACATTGGCCTCCTGCTTGCATGTGATCTGTGTCCCTTAGCTGCCAGACATACCACATTTTATGAGGCTGTGTCTATAGCAAGGTCAAGTAGAAGTGAATTAATCAATGGTGAATTCACTGCTAAATGGAAGGCTGCTTATGCATGAAGCATTTTCAAAATTTGGAAAGAAGGGAAGAGAATAAAGCCTTTTTTCTCTTGGAAAAAAAATAAATTAGGGGGAACTATTGAAACAGTTGCATTGTTTACTTACTATAAAATTAAGCTTTACTTCTGTAAATAAGAGAAAGGTACTCTCTATGCAGGAATTAAAAAATACTGCAAAGTATGTTTATAAGTAAATGCACAGACTTTACTTCTGAAGAAAGGCAATAAATCCTGTAATAAAGACAGAGCTGTGTGGCACACTAAAATATTCTGTGGACTTCTTAATGCTGTTGATATTTTTCTAAACAAGGAAAGAAAATTAGAATTCTGAAAATAGTATGTATCTATAATATTGATTTGTTGAGAAAAGACCCTCCCAGGGGTCAGAGGAAACATGGTATAATCCAGAGAATGAATGATATAATGCAGATAAAATGTACTTCCTTTTCCTATAGAAAAAACAACAGTGAAATGACTATGACACCATTGTATAAATATTCACTATAATGTAGTTAATGAAGCATTGTATCAAGGACCGACTGCAAACTTGGCCTTATGGGTAGATACAGGAATTGTCATAAAGTAAATGCTTTTAAAATACTCAATTGTACAAGCATCCTGAAGGATTTGAATGAAAACTCAGTAGCTCCACTTTAAACATTATGCTAATTAGTCTGTCACTTTGAGTTTATCAGAATATATTTTATATACAGGATTCTTTTTAGTTTCTTCCCCAAAACGTCCTTTTTCTCCACATCATTACTAAGGAAAAAAGCTGAAAATTATTCTACATAAAAGAGCTCTGTTTCTTCCAGACTCTCACATTTGTCCTGATACTTTCATAACATCTCACAATTCATGGATTTCACCTAAGCATAGGCTGCATGCTCAAGCACTTGAAAAATCTCCAGGTACAATCAGAGCAGAAAGCAAATTTGTATTGTATTAACATAATCTGAAATGCACTGTTTTCCTCATAGTGGACAAAAGACACTCCTTTCTCCTTTCTCTTTGCTGAATACACATAGAACAGAACACTGTATACTCAAGGCTAGCTTGGTCGGGGACTCCCTGGTGATTGTATGGAGAGCCTACAGCACTCTTTATAAACTCCCCTAATTCACAGGTGGACTTAGTCAATCAGATCACATGGACTATCCAAACAGTCCCAGATTTATCTACTGACTGAGAATAAAGTCAGTAGAGCCACATGCATAAGCAGGATCATGGTGGGATTTCTGGTCTAATGAGCTAAATGCAGCAAACAGCAACACCCATGCCCACACATGCTGGGGTTCCTCCAGCAAGATCTGAGAACTCAGTTGAGGCAGAGGAGAGCACAGCCTGCATGTCATGCTGGGATGTTACCTAGTGCTGAGGAGCACAGAAACCCTTTCTTCGGAGAGTGCCGGGTGTCCTCTCCTTTGTTGTGTTCTGGTGGAGTAAGTTGTCTGTTTTCATCATCTTGGTAGGCAAGCCTGGAAAGGAGAGCAGAGGGATTCTAGAAAAGCAGCTGATACTGGACAGAATAACTCTTCTTTCAGCAGGGAAGCCAGGAAGTTCATGCTGTCAAATGGATGCAATAGCAAGCTAGCTTTGAGCTCTAACTGGTCCAGGAGCAGTAAGAGAGACCATGAGACAGAGAACGCTCTAAAGATGAGATCTGGGAACATTAGGTGGTAGAAGTGAATGGGGAGGAGGGGGTGCCCTGCAGATCCAAATGTCTTATTCAGAGGAGAAAGAACAAAAAAATCTTAGGTGAAAGATGTCCTTTTCCATGTTACTTCTTAAGGCTGAACTGCATTTAAAAAACCAAAATATTTTCTGATATTTGAGTTGTCTGACTAGTCTTTTGGCCTTATTCCATACATTAAAATTTTTGTAGAAAAGCATCACCTCTTCCCACCTCTCCCCCTTAATTAAAGAACCACCCAAACACCTTGACTAAAGCTGCAAAGCTCACATTTCAGTAGAGAGCAGACTTGGTTCACTACAGTATTCAATGTCTTCATTCAAATTTTCATCATAAGTCTCATCCTGAGACACTTCCTCTTGGCAAACAATTGCCAGCTGGCTGTCTCTGGAACTGGAGCTAATGAGCAAAAAAGACAAGTCAAGATATGGAGATGGTAAAGACAACCTATTATAAAGACAAGAATGACAGGCTCCATCTGTCTCCGTTTATTATACTGAAGAGTGATCATAGAAAAATCAATGACTGAACAGAGCTGTAGAGTTCACAAACACAAAGCAACAGCCTTTGTCTGTGTCCTCTTTCAGAGGAAGAGTTTTTTAAATCAATGCTGAACAATACTATAAATACATTATTGCTATGTGTGAATACATGTACTCTATAAATGTGCATATCACACTGACCACCTCACTGAACCCAAAGTAAAATCTGAGATGGGGTCTTGGAAGTACAGCTTTTTCCCTTATTGCAAAAGCCTTGGAATTTCAGAGAAGCCTCCTAGGCACTATTAGTTCTGTGGTGTATGGTCTCTCCATCCCAAATTCCTTATTCTGCACCATCTCTCCCCTCTGCCTCCTGTTAATGCTCTTCTTCCTTGCTGTCTTTTCTATCTTAATTCTCTTTTTTCTCAGCACACTGCAGAGTGCTTCTATGGAATTCAGTAGGATCTGTTTAGACCCCTAAGTGTAACAGTCCTTAATTCCAGGCTTGCTTCCTCCTGTCCCTGTTTCACATCTCAGCCCTCATATTTCACTGCATTCTGAGATTGTGTTTTCTGAGGAGCAAAGTCAAATCTGAAAGTAGTGTGAACCTTTGAGATACTGACATGGAGGTACTGAAGCCAGTGTCAGTCTGTTACTAGCATTTGCAGAAGACAGTGGTATGGCAGGTTTTTTTTCATCTTCCAGGGACTGAATAGGAAACATTATTTTATAATTTGATTTGAACAAAAAGCAGTAGGAAAAATGCACATATGCATGGTATAGAACAGCCTGTAGCACAGTGCTGGAGTCACCTTCCTACTGAGATGGGAGGTGAATAAAACTGCTGAGGTGCAGGAAGGGAGAAATCAGTACATGGCAGCTCCCTCTATTCACCAGTCTGTGTTTAGCCAAAACCATACAGAATTTTTGTATGAACATACCAGGGTGTATTGCGCTGTGCTGTGATCAGAGAGTGCCTAGATGTGTGAGCCCAGCTAGAAACTCTAAAAAAACCCCAGACCTATAAACCAGCTAGTCCATGCATCACTACCTACCAAAAAAACCCTGAGTTGGGAGCATTTTCTGGAGATATCACAGTGATCATTACCTCTTTTTTAGCCCTACTGACACCAAGAAGAAGAGCTAATATTCAGCATTAAAGGGGATTTGGACTTTCAATGGGACAAACAATGTGTCTTACACCCAGAGAGCATTAGAGCATGAGGGAGAACACGTACCGTCCCAGTGTTTCGTAGTAATGTGTCCTAATTCAAGGAAGGTACCCAAGGAAGCAAGGAGAGAAAAGAACACCATGTTAGCAGTGTCACATCAGCACAAGTCAGCAATGGGGAGATGGTAACACATGTTGTACAACTCCTGTGTCTTCCCTCAGGAAGGCATGAAATAGAAAAAACACTCGACTCCTTCCTTGGGCAATACAGGCAACTAGTGAATTCCTTCCATTTTACTGCCCTATTCTGTCTTTTGCTGGGGCAGCATTTCTTCACGTTTTTACACTACCCACTCTCTGCATTAAAATAAATAAATAAATCCATCTCCTATGTGCTATTACTGAAATGGTTAAAAAAAATTCTCCGCTGATGAAAATGGTACTAATTTTTTATTAGTCATCTCTCTGTAGACAGCCTGAGAGCTGTCCAGAGAAGAGGATTTACTTTGCTTTGCCCCATGTTGCATTTCTGAAAGCCCTGCCTCCCTCCTCACATAATGTCTTTGGTAATCTCTGTAGGGATGGGCCCCACTGAATGAAAACCCACTGGTTTCCAAAAAGGTCCCTATTGGACACTTAAAAGATGAATTTTAGTCCCTTTGTCTTTCAGTTAGAAGTCGATAGAACACCTCCCTGTGGTGAAGGAGGGATAAATAAGGTTCCTTTATGTTCTTACAAAGGCTTCTTCATGATAAAGCCCAAAGAAATCAAGTGTGTTGGTCAGTGAGAGTGCTGCTGCTTTGCAGTGGCCAAATTATGTTTATCTGTTGCACCATGAGCTTTGGAAGAAGTGGGGAACAAGAAGGCTCAATCCAGGCTGCAGGCTGGGTGATGTCTGGTGTGTCTGTGGGTGACTTCAGCTAGGCAGAAGTGCTCTAGTGTTTGCATGCATGTTCCTCTCCCTGGTCCCTTGTCCCCACTCTCTGTTCTGTGAACTTACCTTTTGGAAGGTAGTTTCCACGGAGCCTCTTGGACACGTATGGTGGGTGACAAGGGGGTCCCGTGGCCTTCCACTGTGCTGACAGTGCTGGGGTAGCTGGGTGGGCTGGGGAAGCGACACAGGGCAGTGTTGTTGGCATTGTTGATGTTGGCATTGGAGCCTGAAGATGAGTAGCTGCTGGGAGTGAAAGTGGAGTCCACCAGCTTCTCATGAGATGGAGACTCGGTATCTCCCTGGTTGTTGCCAGACTTATTGATGTGCAAAGGTCTCTGGGTGGTGAATGTCTGCGGGAACCCACTCCTGCCATCACTTTGGTAATAGCTGACATGGTTTCCAAACAAGCCTCCGGCTCTCTGTCAGAGAAACAGAAAGTATTTTGCCTTTGTGAGTGAGAAGATGTGCAAGGGTCCTGGTGTTCCCAGCTTAGCCTGTTGTTGAGGAAAAAAAATGTGAGGACCAAAGTGAGCACAATGGCACTGGTGCTCTCTCTGCCAGAGGGCAGCACATGGACTTCTGTGACAGAGAGACTAAGTACACACAGGCTGTGAAAGCTTTTGCTTTTTAAGGTATTTTAGAGGAACAGCCAGGTGCACAGGTGAGGCAAAGGTGCCTCTACACCTCCCACCAGTCCTGGGAGTGTAGGACTGGGTAGGGATGCAGGAACTGGCTAACTGCTCTCTGGTTTTCACAGTGCAGTTACAAAGCAACACTTACACATGAGAGGGAATTTGAGAAGAACACCAGAAACTATTAATCACCTGGGGGAACAAATTAAGAAAGATTTAATGAGCTAGTTATGTACTGTTTAGATGATGAGTAATGAAAGGGACTGACAACATCTTTTCTAAGGAAAGGAGGAAAATACCAAAGGGGAAGAAATATTACCCGAGGAGACAATTGCAAGAAATAAGAATGAAATAAGAAAAAGTGGCTTGCTCAGGAAATTTCCTCTCTTCACAGGAGCTCTGATGGGTTCTGGCATACTTTTTGGAAGGATGCTACTTCTGCCACTGAAAGGAGTGAACGAAACACAGAAGTGTGCCTGGCTACTGCTCTGCAGAATGTAGGGTAGCTGAACTGATTTGTTCTTCAGAGCCTCTGACCATTCTCATTCTGATTTTATTTAGGTGTTATGAGGGAAAGTTCCATTGGAAGAAGATGGGATAAACACTATGCAAAGATCTCATGATCTGGCATCCTGAGTCCACCACTCTATGGTCTAGAAAACAAGGAGGAGATAGCTGAAATACGAAGTGCATAAAAGAGAAGGTAGCACTCTTTGAGCTCAGCTACTTGTCTAACCTCTGCTTGTAAAATTGTTCAGCACCTACCCGGAAGATATCATCTTCAGAGGCAGCAGAAACAGCTTCTTTCATGGCCTTATCCAGCTCTTCTTCAGCTGTTAGGTCTCCAGAAATTGCTCGTCGGATCTCCGGCCCGATGTCATGGAGTGTGCGCAGACCAGCCTGCAAAACAGCAAACTATAGATCTTCATATCTCCAACTGGGCATAGGAGAGATAAAAGCAGTGGTATTTCTTCCTATGCACTATGAAGCCCTTTTACTTAATATAGAATCTCCAGCTTCTAGAAAAACACCAACAAGTTCTACTCTTTCATCTCCAGCTTAGAGAGGGAAAAACTCTTAGCAATTCAACATAGGAATGTTTGTTGCCAGTCCCCTGGCTTCATCACAACAGGACATAGACATAAATCCACAGGCCTGACTAAGCAAGTCTGCATGCTTTCAACTTTGGGTTCTCAGATCCACAACCAGAAGCCCTAGAGCAGCCACAGTTCCAGCTGAACTGTATACTTGGTGCCTTTGAAAAGATCTTCTTTTGAATCAGCAGCTTAAATATGGATTTAATAGCTAAACTTCTGGCATCTGAACCTGGACAGTCCTCAAACCCTTCACTGACTGGAATATGTTCCAGGGAGTCCATCCAGGGAGGTAAGCTGTGGGTATGCTGAGACTTCAGTCTATCTGTGCCAGCATCACAGCAGTTTCTAGCTTGTTGGAAATCCAGGGTAGACCTTCTTCCTTACTGTACTCTCAAGGGACATAAATGGTGCTGCTTGTATAGTCAATGGGGCTTTCTCATTCTTTCACACAGCCTGGAAGTCCACCCAGTGAACCTGTGGGGAATAGATCTCAGGTCTAAGATCCTGATGCCCCATCCATTGGATGACCTTGGCATGCAGGTATGCTTTTTGCTTTCAACTGATTTTGCCTCCTGACACTATGATCTCCCTGACTGTGTTAAGAGTGATGCCCCTCAGAAAGGGTAGAATGACTGTTCTAAGAAGCAAATGTCTGCTGGACACTTCATGCCAGCTCTCTAAGAAGAACCCAGATTTCAAATATTACCAGCAGATAAACCATGGACGTAACTCATTTGTGCCTTCCACCTACAGAGCTAAGTAATGTGACCTGTGATACATACGTGTTTCTCCCAAAGGATTCTTATGGTAATTTAAGGGGTCTACAAACTCCTTTCCTGAATAGCCGAGAGGGAAATGGGGTCTAGTGCCTCTACTGTACCACCCCTGTCCACCTTGTGCCCGTTTGTCACCTGCAAGGAGAGCGCGTTGCGCTGGGAGGGCTTGCCCACCAGTCCCTGCTCTTTACGCTTCTTGAACTTCCGGAAATACTCCTGAATCAGGAAAGTGGCGTAGAACTTCCCAACAGTCACCTCGTCATCTGCAAGGGAGTATCAAAAAAAGTTAATGCATTAAACAACCAACTGATTTTGACAGTGAATTTGGTAACGTGAGCCTTGCAATTCGCAGCAGAAACACTAGGCACTGCAGGACATCTCTGCTTTTTATGGCATCAGGATGCAGGGCTGAAGGATGGGATTGCTGTGCGGTCAGGAGGAGAGGTGCATGTGGCATTTCAATAGGCTGGCTCTGCTGGCAGTGAACCTCTGTAGCTTTGCACCTCTGGATGTACGTTGCCTATGGTGAAGTGCCTCTAACCTTTGCAGTCTCTGGTATTAGTTTACCACATAGGATCTTGCTATAACAGCAGCCTCCCAGTCTGGGTCAATGCAAGCTGCTCTGTCTTGTGATAGCCTGGGGTAATACATACTCAGAGTCTGGGCACACAGCAGCATCTGACTGACTAGTGATCTCAGACCTGATCTGGCCCTTTTCTGCATTTAAACTGCCTGCTTGTGCCTAACAGGGGTGTGAGTGCACCAAAATGATCACCTCTCTCCAGAAATGTGGTCATTGCTGTATTGTCTCTCAATGCAGACTGCCAGTCAGCCAAAGTGTGCACTAAGTTTTTATCCAGGTATCTCTCCTCCCTCCTCCAAACCCACTGAAAATTTTATAATACATGCTCTACTGACTTCAGAGCAGGTTCAGGGCCTGGCTGCAACTGTTGATTAATTGCCAAGTGCTGTTTTGTGCTGTAGCCCCTGGAGCCACCAGAAAGGTCAGTGTAGGCTGCACTGGATGCCCATGCACCCAGGGTCTCAAGAAGCCTAGCAAAGGAGTTGCCCAGATGCCTGGTAATTACAGCCTACCAGGGAAACTGCATAGAAACCCTCAGCAATCTGCTACACCAGTTCAGACTGGCTGAGGAATGTACCCAGGTACATGAGTCTTTGGCAGGTATTGTACAAAGCAGTTATGTGAGCAAATGAAAGAGTTCTATGCCATAGTAAAAATAGTTTTCTCAATATGAAGGGTTTATGAGATGGGGCTACATCCTTAACTTGAGTGTAACTTGAGGCCACATCCCTTATACAAAGTCCACATCGACCTCCCTGGAGATACTTAGCTCTGCCTACCTCCTTGCCCTTGGCAGGCACCAGGGATTGTCCACGGGAGCAAATGCCTGTGATCAAACTGAGGCAAGATCAGGAAAAAAGGCTTCTAACTCATATTTCTTTCTATTTTCTAACTCATTTTCTTCCTTCCTGGATTTCTCAGGAGTATGAACACGATATTCGTGTTAGTACAGGTAGAAACAGATCTCAGCCTAATGGAATACAGGTTACAGCTTGCAGAAGAAAGCTTGTCCCCCACATTCCACTTGATGATCATGAGATACAGGAGGACATGTCAGGTGGGGAAAAAAGAGAGATTCAGAGACTGGGACAAAATCCCGCACTCACCACCTGCGGGGGGCACCACCTGGTCCAGCAGCTTCATACTGGTGCGCTTCCAGATTTTCTTAATTATTGCTCTCAGCTCTTCGTTGGCTTGCTCCAGGTTGCCTGCAGGGTGAAAATCATCAGAGACAAGAATTAAGCAGACCCTGCAGAGGAGCAATTTAATGTCTGGCATGGCAGTCTTCAGAGGAATGTATCAGAGCTTTTTCAGTAGTGGAAAGTTTTAGACAAAAACATGCTCTGACTACTGCTAAAGCCTTCCAACAGCAAGAGGTCTTATTCCTAAGTATGCATAGTCATCTCAAGGTAGGAAGGTTACTGTGTTAATGACTGGAAGTTTACAACAGCCAGAACACCAGAACAATGGTGCTGCTTCATCCCAAAAAGCAAACCTCATCTAACACTTCAAATTTTAACTGAGATCCAGTGAAGGTTTAGTATGATGACAGCAGAGGTCAGTTAATGGAATAGTACTGCCTGGGGAACACAACTAATTGGTAGTAAAGATGTATCTAGAAATCTGAAGACCTGGGCCTGCCTGCAGTGTTTCCCAAGAATCAGCTGTTGCAATCCCTGCCTCCCGGCAGATACAAGATTCCTCACATGGCGCCAAGAGTCTGCCTTGGAGAGTCTGCACAAATGCTCTGAGGGGCACTGCAGGCACGTGCAAGGCTGTCACTACTGGACTCAGGGGACTGTCCCAGGATATTTGTCTTTATTCTCTTAAGAACAGCTTAGGCTATAACAAACCTTTTATGTTAATTGTATGGACTTAGACTTCACGTGTTCCTCCAAGGACCTCTGAGCTAAATGAGATATTAATCAAGCCTTACTACCCCTTTGAGAGTGAGTGAAGCAGATTTGGTTTATAACCTTCCTTCTAAATACCCATTTCCTCCCAAGCGACTCACCTTCGCTTTTATTTCTTGATTTATATATATTGAAACCCTTATAATTGAAGCTCTCTTCTCTCTCTAGGTGTGCAAAACCACTATCTTGTTCTCCTAAGCGTGCTGTATCTGTGGCTTTTCTTATTGCTCCCCAGCATTAGGGCTCCTCAGTGCATGGCAGAAGCTCTCTTAATCAGATGTGGTGAAGACAGGGACACTAATTAACTTGCTGAGGATGAAGCAGGTGGACAGCATCAAAGGCAGAAATCTAACTCAGGAGGGCTAATTCCAAATTCCTGCCCTAACTACTTACAAGATCCTGCTAAGGCAAGAAAGAAAGAAGTTTGAGGCTTTGAAGGTGGCTTCCCAGGAGTTCACTAGCAATGACTCTGAGAGTTTGAGGAAAAGGATGGACAAGAAAACTGCGTCCTTTCTGGGTCTCTGTTTTGTAAGACACAAGATGTCCTCAGGGGTTGAGCTTGACTTTTCCCTCAGGAAAGCCTCCTTGGTTACAGTCAAATTCTGTTTAGCACAACATCCAAGGCCTTAATATGATTTTTAAATTTTACCACTTCTTTTGGCTCAGCTGTCAGTATAATCCTGGCGCAGTAAGCTAAGGTTCTGCTGGTCTCTGCTTTCCCATGCCTGCAATGTAGTGCAGCTGCTCCTGATGCAGAGCTATTTAGCTGTGAATCACAGACCCACATGTTCTTTTAGAGCACCTCATGAATACACGAAGCCAGGTTTTGACTGAGGACCGGTATCTTTCGTTACAGCAGGCGACAGATTACAACAAAGGGGACAAGCTGAGCCCAAAATCTTGTCTGCTTTCCCCAATTACACCCACTGGTCTATCCAAAGCTATTAACAGACTTTTTGCTTCTTACCTGTCTTTAGGCCTACACCACTACTGTCACTACGATGTGATGTTAACTCATGCTAACGGAAGCATGGGAGGAGTTTTAGTGAGGTGAGACCAATGAATACAAGATCTTTTGTCTCCTTTGGACTGGAACATCAATGGCAACAACAGTCACAAAGCAGACCAGCTGTGCATCCAGTTTGCACAAGGTGAGGCTTCTTTGCCCTTCTTCCTTTCCCCGATTGCTGTTTGAGCAGACATTGATCTAAAACACTTTTAACTTTGAGACCACCGATCAATAATCTGAGATGATACCACGGGAGGCAACTGCTTTCTAGGTAACTGTTAACACTGTTCTCTCCCTAGAAGATTTTATTCCTCCAAACATCTTTACATTGCTTTTTGTACCGTGCGCTGCATATCAGTAAATGGGATCATTTTACACAAAATGTCCTTGTTGCTGTGTGACAGCTTATCACAATTTGGTGGGAACACCACTCAGCTACCTTCATATCCTTGCAGTGAGCAAGCTTCTTACCTTCTGTCTTGATCCTCAGTGCTGTTCTGACCAAGGCAAAAAGTGTGGCATTGAACATAACAGTCCCATCACTGTTCAGTGGCATGTTCATGGAGACAAGGCGCTGTGGAGTAAAAAGGAAGAGAAAAATCATGCTGCTAACACATAGACTGAAGCATGCTCTTCCTTATGCCCTCATGATGCCCTCCAGACCTGACACCCCTCCTAGGTGGGCATCCATGGCCTGTGGATTTAGTTACACAATTATAAAAGTACTTGTCATATCAACCTGTGGTCCTAGCCATGGCATGTTTGCCCTGAGGTCTCTCTCCCATTGCTAGATACTCTTGTTTTCTTCAATGTGGCTAACACTTTCTAACCTTTGTTTTCCCCAGTGCCCAGTGGGCATTTGTCTACAGTGTATTACATGGACAGAGCTTTGTTCCAGTCCCTAAACCATTTGGCTTTAAATGACACCTATTTTTCTTATCAAGAGCAAGCTTATTTCTTTATATCTCATGAGGCACTTGCAAACTCACCCGCATTAAAGCTGTGCCTGGTGCAACAGAGCCAGAATCTTTCATTTAGGTGACAGGCCTGAGGAAAGGATACTGGCTGAACCTGAAAGCTGGTCTGCTTTATCTGACTATTCTCCCTCTCCCTTTTAAAACAGGGCTGTGTGTGCCCCACAATAATTCTGTAAAGCCACGTAGAACAGAGTGAGTGCTAACGACTGCTGCACATGCAGGGCGAACTTCAGTGTGACCAGAGATGTGTCTCTGAGACAGATGTAGCAGAGTCACCAGGTCATACATCTGACATTTCTGACTCAGGTGGTAAAGAGACACCAGGGACTTAAACTCTTATGCTTTCAGGGGCTGATTTTGTTCGAGCTCTCTCCCACTTTCACGCAATGGGCCTGGCTCAGTACCAAACTGACATCTTCCATCACTACCAGTGCAGTCATAGACTGGAGGGTTTGAACCAGATTGAGACCACAAGCAGTTGCGAGACAGCAGCCTGAAGAGGATAGGCAGTAGGCCACAGAAGCAACATATATCTGTGTGCAGGCCCCAGACTTCGTGTTTTGCTCTCAGGCTGATAAAAAAACCCACAACCAAACAGCTGCAAGTGTCACATGCAAATTTTGGGACTTGCAAGGAGTTGAACAGAGAACTTCAAATGAACGAAGCATAAAGGTTATAAACATGGCATTATTCACCAGAGAGAGGCCTTTTTCATAGCCTGAGTCTCACGACCAAATAAGTGAGACATTTTCACAGAAAATCTGTTCTTGCTCTTTGTGCCTATTAATACCACACTCGCCTTGCTGTTCAGTATCTGTCAGTTATTTAAGCAAGAATGAGGGAAAACCTTAAGTTTTTTGGTGCACTGCTTAGCCCAAAGGAAATCCCAGAGATATTTTTACTTCCCCTGCTCTTCGACTGTCCTAATCTGCTTGGGGATATGTTTGATAACACAAACGCACGTGTGGCTGACTCCGCGCTGGGTATTTGGGAGCTGCAGTCAGCAGGGCTGCCCTCCCTCCTGCGGGTGACCCTCCGGCTCCGGGACGCGGAGCTGCTGCCCGGAGGAGCCGGGGAGCGGGGCAGGGAGGCGGATTCAGAGCCGTGCTGCTGTGGGCTCTGCCCCGGCTGGGCTCGGCTAGGAAAAGCCCCTGCTGGCTACCCAGCCGCGGTGCCTCCCGGCGCTCCCCGAGCCGCAGCGTGCCTTACTTTGCAAGCCACCCGGTGAGGGCAGAGCTTCCCGAAGCCGAGCGGGGGCTGGATCCGCCGGAGCAGCGTAACCACGTCCAGGTGTTTGATCCGTCCCCTGAAGAGGAAAGCACAGTGAGGGTCGTGGCGGGGCCGCCTGCTGAGACCTTCCCTGCCCCGCATTGCTACGGCCTGTGGGCCGGGTTGCAGCTTCAGGTGTCATCCCTGGCCTCTTGCATTCACTGCATTCCCCAGGACTTGCCCAGCGCTCATGTATCTCCTGCTGGTACAGAAGACCCAGCTGTCGGTCATACACCAGTCAATACTGGCAATAATTGATTTCAGTGTTTTGAATGCTGCAGTTTTTTTAGAGCATGAATTTGGGGTTGTCCCCCCACCACTGACCTGCTCAAAATCTACAGCTGATTATTTACTTGTTGATCTTAGGGCTATAGCAGACACAGTGGTGCAAAAGGTATCTTTTTTTTCCCCAGGAGCTTTACCTCCCATATAAATAGCCCCAAGCCACAGTCTTCTGATACTTGTTTATGCTTTGGGCTGTCACTGAGGCCAGCACAAAACAAAGTGCTGAACTTCCTTCACAGCTGTAGTGGGGTTTCTTTTAAGTTCTGTAAATGGCAACTCAAAAGAATTCTCTCATGGAAGGGAGAGAGGTTCCAGAGTCAGAGGTGGGGCTTCAATCATAGGATGTGGGTGGGGAAGAGTCAAAAAAGAGCTTCCCATTTATAGATGGGAAAGAACAGGATGCCATCTGGACTGAGCAGCTATCTGTTATATGGCTTCAGCCACTGCACTCTTGCCTTCAAATAAGTGCAAATGGCAGCAGCTTTTGTTAACAAACAGTATAGTTATTAGAATTCTGTCCTTATCCTCTATCCATATTAAAAGTCTCCCTGGGCAGTCACCACGAATGGGAAGAAGGGTTTCAATTTACGTATCACTCTGATAATGTGACATGGCCTTACATATAGCAGAGCCTGAGCCCAAATCAATCTTGACACTATGTCTCCTAAGGAGATCTGTTTTTAGTTTACACTGAGATCTCTTTCCACAGTTTTTGCATTATGAAGATAGCCTTGCAATTACAATTGTCAACTGCACTGTAATGCCACAGGGACCTAAGTGTACTTTAAGCCTAAGCATGTCAAACAGAGCATATAGAACTGAATGTCACTTAAGCCTTTTTGTGAGTTTTTCTTGTGTAACTTTTAATCCCTGCAAGTCTGCTGATGTGAATAACCCTGCAGACAACATAACGCAGCCATGTGAAGGTACAGGTTGTGATAGCCCTATATGACATATGACAAAATGGAAATCTAAGCACAGCAGCTCTACTGTGAGTAGAAAGTCAAATAGAACAGTCACAGCTCAATATCTCAAACACATGCAGCAATAAACCAACCCTCTAACCTCCTTTGCTTCATCTCCTGCTGCCCCTCCTTAAACAGCCTGTATCTCCCCCTGACTGAAAGTGAAGCAATGTCCTGCCAGGTAACAGTGCAGCCTAAATGCTGAGGTTTCTGTGTGTGTCTGTGCACTGATGGCTTATGAATTCAACAGCAATACTTTGGGAAGGTATCTTGTTCTTTTTTTGTTGTTGTTGTTGGTTGGTTTTGTTTTGTTTGTTTGTTTGTTTCAGAAAAAAAGAAAAAAGCATTCCTGCAGGAGGAACATGGCACTTACTGCATGGGGTCTAGAGAACAGAAAATAACAGGCCTGTTCTCCCGAGGAGCTCTAATATCCAGGCTGGGTTACTTACTTGGCTTCAGGGTCATACTCTGCCCAGATCCTTTTAAACTCATCCAGGTGGTGTGGTCCTAAAATGGACCAGTCCCTTGTCAGGTAATCAAAGTTATCCATTATAACAGCTACAAAAAGATTGATGATCTGCAAACAAGAACAGTCAGAGATGACTTGACGGATGAGGCAGGTAACAGCAGACTTTATCAGGTTCTCCCATTTAAGATCTGAATTTGGACTCATGAAACTAGGAAGCCATTGGGGATGGGTTTTCTGTTTCTCCATGCCAGCCTTGAGGTTTAATGGGAGGATCCCAGAGGTGAATATTCTTAACTGGTCCTATTTTTCTCTTCCTTACTAAATGGGCGAGGCTCAAGTTTGCTGAATGCTTAAATGTGCTGTGATGGCTTTTAGTTTACCTGTGCCTTTGCCCAGCAGAACAGGGTAATGGTGGGAGAACCTGGGATTTATCCACTATAGACAGTGGGGCTGAGATAGAAGTCCTTTCTTCTGGCCCACGACCAAAACTTTAAAAATGTTGCTGCTGTTCACTGGGAGAGTTTTGTGCACTGATGCCAGCTGCAGAGCATGTGCTGTCGCTCTGAGCAATGCCGCACTGCCAACACAGAGCAGATGCAAGTGGGATATGTGTATTCTCACAGTCATTGCTGCTGGCAGGGGAGGAAAAACCTGCTCAGCAGCCAGAAGGAAGGTAGGAGGGAAGGTGGGAAGTGTGGCTGAGGCGTTGCTAGCCTCAGCACAGCCCACAACACTCTAATTTGGTTTTCTCATTGAGGAGGAGGGGGGAAGAGTGCTCCTTTGCAGTGCACAAAGGATTGGGATTGGAAGGAGAGCATCCTCCAGAGCTGGAGGGAGGCACGAGTGGCAGTGACCAAGGTGTTGTCACTGCTGAGAAAGATCCCATGAAGAGACTTCCCCTCTTTAAGATCATTCTTCTGCTGTGCAATGCTGATGTCTGGGGGGGCAGAGGCTAATCTGATAGCGGACAGGTTTTGGTTGCTAGGGCAGACTCACCAGGAAGGCACAAAGCATGTAGAAGCTGATGAAATAGAAGACGGCGAAGCTGCTGCCACAGGAGTGATCGGCTTCGGTGGAGTTGGCCGGCTCCGACTCTGGGTCGCACTTCTTGTCTGGGAGACATGCCAGCATGATTTCCTGCCAGGCCTCACCAGTGGCACACCTGAGCATGGCAAGGGAAGACAGCATTGAGAGGGGCTGGCACATTAGCAACATGTTGCTTGCGTAAAGGTCAACGGGAATTTTGCTATTGAGGTCAATTAAGAGGAAGTTAGGCTGATGGCTGGGCTTTGACACACACTGGCATACCCTGCTCCTCTTTTTGGCTTTGTTGCCATCATAACTGTGTTCCTGACTGGTTTTGGATAGTCTGGGTATGGGGCTGTCATGTTCCAACCAGCCAGAGTTGAGATACATGTGACATGGGTATGGATTGCATGAAAAAACTCCTTGAAAATGAGGAGGGAGTGTTGAATTCATGTCAACTCTCCATCCCTTCAGCACCTCTCTGCGGCCCCAGCACACATGGCCCCAGCTGGAGCAGGATTATGTGCTAAGCTAAGTGGGGCATGGCCATGCCAAAGCACATGTGGTAGCTCATGTCCCTGTCCCTGCTAAAATCAGCTGGAAGTCATACTGGCTTGATTTGGATGAAAGGAGGAGTTTGTGATGCATATGACCATTAGAAAGCACTGAAAACTGACTACTTTCCTCCTGAGTGGGAGGACTTGCCTCTCTCCCCAGCACTGAGTGTTGGCCAGGGTCAGCTGGCAGGGTAGAAGGCTTAACAGACTGGTCATTTCAGCTGATACAACTCCCAGGCTTCCCCGCTCAAGGACATGTTTCTACTCACCTCATGAGCATGACATGGTAGAAGGAGATAAGCTGTGCCTGAGAGCAGAGCATGCTCTCAGACTGACACAACCCAGAGCTGTCAGACACCCACCTGAAAAGCAGCAGCACAGCCTGGGGAAAGGTCTGGAAGTTGTTGTTGCGGTTGATTTCTGTGGTATCGTTCAGCGCAATTTTACCAAATACCTGGCAGAAAGCAGAGGTCTTTTCAGATTAGCCCTGCAAAATCCCCAAACCACTTGTCACCTGTAGCTCTTGGCCTCACCCTGACTCTGATATTTGACAGAATCTACTTTTCTCTTAAAAACCTGATTCGACAGGTCTTTCATATTTGCTATTGCTTTCCTTGCTTGTGCTTTATCACCAGAAAAGCACTCATTTTGTAACAAGAGGTGTCTTTTCTCAAAAGAAGACATCCCTTCTTACTTCATACACTGTATGTGATATGGGACCTTATTTTAACAGGCACTCATGTGGGGAGGGGGTTCAGCTGAAATAAATCAATAACACAGAAGAAAGAGGCTCCTTCCCTGCTTGCTTATCTCTCTTCATGAGGAGGAGATGAAAGCAGAAGAACAGCAGCTGCAAAGCCTTCTGCTTCCAGCTCTGTGGGGTGCCTCGGACCTTCCCAAAACAAGGTAAAGTATGTTGCCTTGGATCTGGAGACTGTCAAAATGTTTGCCTTTCTAGCAGCCATGCTTATCACCAGCAGGTGTTTTAGGCCCCCTCCAGAATGCAGCAGTGTGAAGATGACAGCTAGGTCTGCCCAGGCCATGATGGCTTCCGGCTTCCTTCCAATCAACCATCACTTCACTGACTGGTTCATCCAGCCACAGCACAGCTCCTGCAACCATCAGCAAACCTTTTTGGGGGCCTGTCTTTGGTTATTACATCCCCACTGCAGGAGAATTTCAGACTTCTTTGAAAAAGTCTTTGGTACTTTTGGGCACCAGGATTGAGAGCTTAACAAACCTTGCCTGGCAGAAAGGTCTCTGCACAGCACAGTCAGTCAGGACTATTTATTCCCTGTTGATAGCAACGTGACAGAGATCTCAAGGACTGAGAGCTGTAATCTCGTAGCCAAAATGAGCAGCAGGAACAGAGCAGCTCTGAGAGAACATGGAGCTTCTTTTCAAGCAAATGTCACTGATAATTAACACCCCAAGAGAAACAACAATGTGGAGAGAAGCTCAGGGACAAAGATGGGAAGGCCATGCCAGGCAGGAGGGAGGGTCTGTACGTGGCAGGCTTTCTGCAGGGGTTTCCTCATGGGTGTGTGGGCCTTCCCCAGCCCCGACCACCCCCTGCCATGGGTAGCAGTGACAGCTCCAGCTGCATGGGGGAAGAGTAGGAGGACAGCTTAAATGCTCAGGGGTAGTTTGAGCTGAGGCAGCCCGTATTTTTCATTACAGGCAAGCATAGGCCAGGGAACTTCCCATACTAGAAGTCTGATTTTCCTTTCAGTCCTGCAGTTTCCCTCACACATGAGGCACTGGTGGCAGCTACTACACGTGCTTTGTGTTAGGCACCTATGAGGAGCTGTAGTTAGAGGTTTGCCTCTCATGGCCTCTCCAGTATGTGCTTCTTGGGCCATGATATGAGTAGCTTCATCCATCAGCATCAATTTGGATTTTTCCAGTTCAGCACATTAGGTAACGAGGCTTGAATGCTGCTACATTCCAAGTCAGGGCAGTAACTGAGATAAAGTGGTAGGTCTCCTTTGTGGGGGAAATTCTTGTTTTCATCAGATCTGGTATATCTAGACTTTCAAGGTAGGTGCTTAATGGAGTGAGGAAGGATTTTCCTTCCTACATGTCCCTATGTGTGAGGGAACTCTATGTGTCAGCAGGTTCAAGAAAGCAGCACAGAAAATGTCTGAGATGCCGTTTGGACAAAAAGTGGTGATAACAGATTTGTGGGCTCTAAGCAAAAAAGGAAGATGAAAAAAGTTGGTTTTCTTACTGGAAGACAGGAGGGTGGGAAGTGACCTAGTAATCTAGATCAATGTGAAAGACAGATGTATGATCTTCAGGCTGTGGATATGATTTAAACAGAGGCTTGAACGTAAGCCAAGGCTTAAATAGCCAACTTAGAACTGGTTGACAGAAAAGGGAATAGATTTACAGAGTAAAATATCTAGCCCTGGCAGTGCCCCAGTCACTGTAGACCCCATCTGTGTGAGTGCTTGGAAGCCATTTTAATGCTTTGTGTAGCTACATAACTCTAGTGTAATACTCTGAAGTGATTTTCTGTGTATCACAGGTAATCCTGTAAGATCTTGGCCATTTGAGCTAGTTAGGTATTAAAGGCAAAATTGGCAAGTTTACAGTATGAGCCTAGTGGACTAAATTACAGCTGTAATTACTGGGGGCAATTGAGATAACCTGTGATAATTCAAGAAAAAATTAGTTTTCTTTTTCAAGCTGGGGCAGGGTAGATGGTGTCTGTGAAAAGATGTGATTATAATAACAGGAAACAAATTAAAACAAGGTCACAGAGGTCAGATGAATTTTCTGTCAGCATTGTGAAACCAAGAAGCCTGTCATGTTTGAAGACCTCTGGAAGCAATTATACCATGCCATTCTATAATTTGGTCTTTGGTTCCAGGTGGCTGACTTGTCTAAGATCTTTGATTAACATCAAAGTGGAAAGTGAAACTTAGTTTGAAAAGCAGCACAGCAAACGAGGCTGGGGCTGTCACAGACTGTGCCCATGTTACATGCTTTCTTCAGTGGTCTGTATGCAACATTAGTTCCATGATGAATGCTCAGGCTAGTTCCAAGTTCATTTTGCATCTGAACAGGATGTTGTATTGATGCAGCTTCCTGAAAAACTGGCACAAGCATAAAGCGTCGGTACATTGGATCTCATCCCGTATCTGCCTTCATGGGTGTAAATCAAAACCTGCACTTTACGAAGCAGTGGAAGTTATGCCAGTGTGAAAGCAATGCAAGAAACTGGTTTTGTTCAGTGCAGCCTGGCCACAAGCTCACTGAAACATCTATTTTCAACCAATGAACGAGGCAGTAAATCAGTAAATCTTCTTTTCCACTGCTGCTGGGTCTTCCTTTGAAAGCGCAGAGGGCAGGAATGGACCTTTTACTGTTTGCATGTTCATGTTGCATTCTGCCCTAAATGTGTCGTGGTTTGGAGGGCTTTTTTTCCTTTTTTTTTTTTTTTTTTCTCTTCTCAATTTTCAAGGTTAGTTGCCATCTTACCTTACTGGGGAAAACATTCTTGTGAACCCCTACAACCACATTGATCTAGTTACTTTATAAGTCAGTTCCCAAAACTCTAACAGGAGAAGACAGACACAGTTGAGCTCTTTAGCATCACTTACCTGCATCCCGATCACGGCATAGATGAAGAACAACATCACTATTAAAAGAGCCACGTAGGGGAGAGCCTAGAAATGAAAACAAAACAAAAAGAAGAAAAAAAAAGAGAGCGAGAACACTTTGTCTCCACCGAGTTCTGCACGCTGGAGCCTGGTTCATGCTCCTGGTTTTGGGAAGCTGTGCAGAGGCGGGCCCCAACCTTGGCGTCTGTAATTTGCCAGGTAGCCACTAGGTGCCTCTACAGGCCCACATTTGCTTGCTCAGCTGGCCACCAGGCTGCTGCCGCCCAGCCCAGGCAGCCTTTCCCTCTGCTCCCACTCCTGATGCTGTAGCTCTGCTGCCTGCAAGTCAGTCCTGCCCTTGACATAGTGAAGAAAGCGGGGGCAAAAAAAAAGCGTCTACAGATGCTTACGAAGAGGAGGAAACCCTCAAAACCAGTATTACTCTGGCACTAATGGCAATGTGATTTTTTTTTCTGGTTCCAGTCTGGTGCAATAAAACCGGCAACAGCTGCCAAGATCCAAATCCAATTCTGCTACAATGGCTGGCACCATCCTAAGTACCTCAAGCATCAACCATCAGCTTTGTTCTCCGTTCAGTGTTATGTATGTGTGATGGTGTCTGCAACGCCCTAAGTGTCCGTGCTCGGCTGCCGAGGAGTAAATGCAGAGCCCTGATACGTGGAGCTGCCAGGTAAGGAAGAGGTCGCTGCAATCAGCAAAGTGTCGAGTGCTATCGGTTTCATCTGCCACCCCCAGGAATCAAGGGCACGGCTTGGGGCCTCCCGGGCTCAGGCTTCTGGGGAGGAATTTTCTACTCCGTGGCTTTTGAAATATATAGTGCTCAGACCAGAGATTTCCAGACCTTGCTTCAGCAGCAATGGGTGGACACATTAATCCTGAAAACAGAGTACAGTCCCTGATCTTGGTTTTGAACACCCCGTTTCACGGAGAATAAAAAGCCTACAACAGTATTTTAAAAAAACATATAGGATTATTTCCACATTTTAAATTTACCCCTAAGATCAGCAGGGCTAAATCCTACAGGAGGAACTAAGGAAAAATTTTCACTGACTGCTATGGAGATTTGACTAAGATTGCAGAAATAATCTCAAAGAGGTCTGGATCTTAAAATGGCAGAAATCCAAGCCTTTAAACAATCTCTGTAATCATCATTTTGAGACTCAGGGACAGATTCCTCTGTGTTTTATGGGATCAGACAAATCTGTATGTACCCACAATGCCGGTGGAGATCCACCATCTCAGAACTGGGCTGCAAATATTTTGTGCTGATCTAGTTGGGACTTGATACACCCAAGACCTAGGAAGAGCTCCTGTGAGAGTGTCCACACAGACCTGAGGTGCATAACCTTATCAGTTCTTCTGTCTTTCAAATGAGGATGGGAAAAGTGTCTTCTCTCCTGGCTGTCTGGCCCTTCACTATCTTTCCAAGTTCTTCTGCTCAGCCCACTCCTCTCCATTGATGTACCTTCCTACTCATCTCTGTCCCTTATTCCCAAATGGCTCTTTTAGCTTCCCACCTCCCCTAGTCCACTCTTCTGCCTCTGTCCTCTTCTGTCTCTGTCCTTCCATGCTGTTACTACTTTGTCCTTGTGATTCCCACGGCCTTGCCTTGCTCTCAGCACCCCTCTCACTTCCTACTCCTCCCACTTGCCAGCCTGGGCTCTGTTGCTATCTCTGCAGGCGGAAACCCCACCGAGCATTTTCCCACCGCACACTCCTCTGACGGATGGCCCAGCTTGTATGCAAGGAATACCTGCCATGCGCTCAGCACATGGTCCTTACGATGGGCTTTGAACTCCAGCATGAGTTTGTTGCTCATGAGGCTGCCCTTTGTGAGCAGAGACACTTCCTGGAAGCATGTGGCGACACGGAGAAGAGCCTGTGCTGGACAAAGTCTGCAGGGATCCCAGATTTTGACAGTGGGAGTGGCTGAGTTAAGAGCTCTCCACAGTGACTATTCTTAGCTACTGAAGGAGCCTCCCAGTAGCTGTGAGAGGAGGAGCTTTGAGCAGAGAATACCATATTATAAATGGCTAAAGGCTTTCAAGGGTAAATGCACTTAGTTGTAGAGCTTTTGTATTAATGTTTTTTTTTCCTCTTCTGTGGAAGATACCTCCCTTGATACTTTCTCCCATCACCCTACAACCCTGCCTAAAAGTGACTCTCCAGTCAAAGAGTTCTGAAGGTCACTGGCGGGAAGTACCAGGCACTCCCTTTCCCATCCATCTCATTCTCTCCAGCCAAAAGCTGTGGCAAGCTGAGCTCAGGATAAGAGTGAGCTATTGCTAAAGAGATTGGAGGGGCACAGAGGCAAGGGGAGGAGAAGCAGGAACTGGAAAGTGTGACTCTGTCCCTTGCATCAGGGCTTGCTGAGCTGTGCCAAGGGAATCTCATTCCTATGCACAAAGACAAAATGGTTCCCATTGGAGCTGCTCAAATAACAACCTGGAAGTTAGCAACCATGTAAGCAATGGAAAAAGTCTCTTGGAATATGTATGTCTCAGAAACTGTTGTTCAATATTAGATCCTCTGGCAGTCAAGGAGTGTGCAAAATGAGAGTTCTTTGCATGAGCCTGGTGGTCTGGCTACCAAGACCACCTGAGAGTGGCACTCGAAAAGGTTCAGATTGATCCCTGGTGTACACAGGTGTTATTTCTGCTGACACAGAAGTTGTGTTGATCCACAGCACTGTAGGCTTTGGTCCCAGTTTGTGTTATAGCTGGTGGAGTTTAAGTATTAGAGTGTGGATCTTATCCTTTCCCATGTGAGTCAATACAAATGCTATTGACCATTTAAAGCCTCAGTCTGAAGGACCTGGTTCCTATTTCAAGACTTGCGTATCGCACAAGCTACTCTTTCATGCTTTTGTCCAGCGGTGTGTCCTGCATCTTTACTCATGTTTACAGCACCATTGCTGCCCCTGTGCTGTCTTCTCTAACATTTTCTCTGGACCTGCCCCAGCTGACATCCAGGTTGTGCTGGCCCAGTAAATCCAGGTCAGGTGCTTGTAAAATGCAGGAATATGCTATGCTTCACCTTTAACTACCATTTTTTCTATACGTGGCTAGTTTGGAGGCTGCTTTGGGAGCAATTTTTCTAGCAAATAACTACCTCATGTTGTTTGTTCTCCCCTAGAGGTGATGATTCTTACCTACTTTGGTCTCCTTTGTGTCCCCATATCCACTCTGGTACATTATCTACCACTGAAATGCAACCTGCCTCCAGGGCAAAAGCAGCAGCAATTTAATATCCTGGCATTTTTACCAGGGCCAAAGGTGTGGGGCCAAGAAGGTAAAATTATTTCTGGATGAAAGCATGGGGGGCAGACACCTCTAATACTCACAGGAAATCCTCAGAACAAGGCCTAAGAGAAACTTAATTGAGACCCAGGCCTTCCCCAGAACTGTATATTTCAATTAAAGCAATAGATATAAAATACAGCTAAAAAAGAAAAAAAGAAAAAGAGGAGATTGAAGGGTTACAGAGAGGCAGTAATTGAGTTGAACTGAACTATCAAGGCTACCCAGGAGGGTCTCGATCAATTACTCATGCTTTAATGATGAAACTCATCCCCAAGCAGTCATCCCCTGCAAACCCCATTGACTTGACTCCCGTTTGTGCCACATGTCACTGGTGCGCACAGCTCTGACCAGCTGCCTTTGGGCTCAGGCACTTGGGTGAAACCCGTCCCCAGGAGGCCACCGAGGGGAAACAAAAGGTGTTACGTCTTACTCAGAGAGAGATAAGTGAAGGAGTACCTGGAAGGACTTGATGAAGGTCCAAAGCAGCGTCCGGATGCCCTCCCCTCGGCTCAGGAGCTTCACGAGACGCATCACGCGGAAGAGTCGGAAGAAGGTGATTGAGATGCGAGAATTTTCCTCTGCGTTCTGGAAGCCATTGGCACAGAGGCAGGAGTTACAACAGCACGGGAGGAACAGGGGCCCTGGGCCACAGAGGATGCTACGCTGAGAGCTCACTGCACTGTTCCTTGTCCTGGCACTGCTCCCTGGGCTTGCACTGCCCTGGCAGCCGAGGGACAGGCTGAGGCAGCTCCAGCCTGTCCTCTCTCCCACAGGGGTGAGCCTACTCTGCAGGGGCCATCAGTGTCTCTCTTCAGGTTGTCTGGACTTTTGGGGGTTAGGGATATGTTATGCTATAAACACCTTGGTTACATCTCCTCCTTACACTGAAAAGATACAGTTCTCCTTGGACATGATACTGAAGGAGAAAGACCTTTTCCCTGTTGACCTATCTCAGATGTTCTACTCAGGTGAGCACCTCAGCCAGCAGATCTCCTGAATCTGGTGCCAGGCATCAGCCACATGCTGCTTCCCCTGCTGCGAGGCAGTAGCAGGTCCCGGGCCGGCCGCGGGGTGTGACAGCCCACGGGTGACACTGCTGCTGGCGTCCCCGGCGCTGCTGGCAGCCCCGCGCTGCTCCCGGGGCCCCGCGGCGCTGCCTTCGGGCCTTTCACATTTCTCATGACCCCTTTGTATTTCCCACAGTCTGTGCGCTGACTTCTGGTTTTTTAAAAACATTTTGTTTTGGCTTCGCTGCTACTGTTCGAGCGTGGAGGATTTTAAAATAGTCTTTCTCCTGGCCTGTTTCGTTTTTGTTTTGTTTTGTTTTGTTTTTTTCCCTCTCACAGCATCTGCTTTGTCCCCTAAGCATTTTCCCCTGGGCCTGTAACCAGCCCTGACGTTCCTCAGCATCCATATGTGTGAGGGCCACATCTGTCTGGGCGCTGCCACAGCTCCAGGCTCACCTGGGCCGTGGCAGATCACCTGCTGCCTGGCCCAAGGGGAGGCGAGGAGCAGGAAATGCCCCGATCCCTGGCTCATCAGCCCTCTGAAATACTGCGTGAAGCCTGCGGAGCTGGCGACTTCCCCTAGCAGCACTGTGGGAATGTGACCTCCTGTCATGGGGGGAGATAACACTGTCACCCTGACACTTGACCTGCTGCGGGGCAAAGAAGTGCACAGAAAACCCCTCTCTGTCCCCACCCAGGCTGCAAAGACTGCATTTTGAGTCTAAACACCACAGAAAGAGCAACATTTAGGAGGAAGAAACAGTGCAGATCACCCTCATTGTTAACTACTCACCACTGTGTAAACCAAGAGAGAACAGACCCTTTGGATTTCCTGTCACTGGGCAATGAAAACAGCAGCTGCTTGCCCGTCTGCTCCTGATGAAACCCGAGGCATGGGAATCACCTCAACACACACTTCTGGGATTAAATGTCTAGATGAGGACATGTACCTGTGCTCTGTGTGTGCCCCTGTTTCCAAGCCAGGGTGAGCAGATGGGCACTCACCTCCGTCGGCCCTGGCTGGGTCCATGCTCCAGCTCCTGCTGTGCAGCCATGGGGGTGCACAGGGGCCACCACTACTTGCTAGTGCCTGCCTGAACCCTGTGCACAGAAAGCACAGGGTTAGGTGCTCAGGATTGCACCCCAGCTGCAGTTTGTCTGTCTGTGGTGAATGACTAGTAGATATTTTGGGTAGCTTCCTCCAGTCTGCAGCAAAGGCTGATGCTCGCGGCCTGTGCAGTAGCCAGGTGAACAGGCTGTGTCAAGGAGAAATATGAGTGCTCCCTACATCTCACATCATTCTCATTTTCTGACTTGGACAACAGGCTGTGGGTTTCAGTGAATCAGAGGGAATTGCTCTGAGGTGAAGGAGGGAATGTGGCTTCCAGGAAATAAAAAAACTGTTACATTCAGTACTCTCAGCACTACAGTCACAGAGGGCTAACTGTAAGGTCATATACCTCTCCCAATCCTACAGAAATCCTATGTCCTCTTTTTCACTTCCTCTAAGAAGCTAAACTCCCATACCACCTAAAATAGAGTTGAGGTCCAAATTTAAAAGTTGTGTGAACAGCAGTACTGCTGTGGCTGTGATCAAAACAACAAAAAAAGAAGCTTTTTTATTCTACCTGCTGCTGCATTTGTCAGCTTGACTGTTTGCATGGCAGCAAGAGGGGGACATGGGTCTGAACAGAGGTTTTAGCATTAATTCACTTTTGTTGCTGAGAGGAGTCAGCTGCTATGGGCAGAAAATAATCCCAGTCCTCCTAGGGTCCTGGAGTTGGGAATGTCTAAGCAGCAGATAAAATAGAACAAATTCCTCCCTGACGTAAATCTGCAACTTACTGGCATCAAACCACTTAGCCAAAAACACTCAGTGATGCCTCAGGAGATTACAGTCATTTTAAGACTAGGTGGCTACAGATTAGCTGGTGTTGAGTTGGGTAGCCTTGCTTGCTTTCTCCTGGCTTTCATCCAGCCTTTTGAAGGCATATCCTTGCCAGAGGAGGAAGGTTCTACAACTGCTGGGGTGGTGTGGGAATTGCCTTGTACAGCAAGGTTGCAGAATTTGTGTGCACCATTGCATTACTTTTAAATTTATTTTTATTTTTTGTGTGCAAAGTATGAACTCAAATGCTGCAGTGAATCACACTGATGAGGAGCTTCAGAGTCTCAATACTTTCTTGTCTGGAGGTTTCAACATGGAATCTCATTGCAAACTCATTCAAGTGTCACACTACTAGTGATGCGGTTTGTTGCTAGCAAGAAATCTTATTAGGTCTAGTTCTCTCTTGGTGATTCATTAGAAGGCAGAACGACAGTTAACTTGACCAAAGGAAAGCTCAGGATGCACAAGAAATACACATGTGCAGAATATTCACAGCTCATGTGAACACCAGACTCACACCAATACACGACATGGCAGCTTCATGCACAAATAACTAGGCTGGGCTTGGAGAGAGAACTCGTGATCACAGGGAAGAGAATAAAGGAGTGTGTTAGAAAGAGGGTCACAGAAGC